CTCCAACCTACTAGTGATGGCCTCCAACCTACTAGCGATGGCCTCCAACCTACTAGCGATGGCCTCCAACCTACTAGCGATGGCCTCCCACCTACTAGCGATGGCCTCCAACCTACCAGCCATGGCCTCCGACCTACTAGTGATGGCCTCCAACCTACTAGCCATGGTCTCCAACCTACTAGCCATGGCCTCCAACCTACTAGTGATGGCCTCCAACCTACTAGCGAGAACCTGAACTCGGCTGTTTGGGGGTTCTGCGGGGTGCCAGTGAAGATCGGTGTTTTTTTCTCCAGATTATTCCAGATCGGTGGTTGAAGTAGATCCCTTGGAAGAAATGGGAGATTCTCTATGTACTGGTCGAGTGACATTTGGTAACGACAAGACCTAGTTGCGACGTTTCGATGCTTTCTGAGCTCTCTAAAGACTCTATATATAGACTTGACAAATAAGTTGTGTATCCTTACAGTTCTCCTTCAGATTTAGGTCTCTGGCAATTCTTTTGAGCTTCACATTGACTGGTCGCATTGAAGTCCACTCCGTTGTGTTCAACTGGGTGGTTGCCGATTCTTTAGCACTCTCTCTCTCTCTCTCCAATTTGGTCTATATATATATAAAGAAGGGTACACGACGTGCACGAAAACAACAACTGATTCGAAAGTCATTCTCCACCAAAGTGATGCGACTCTTAATGAAAACGTCTGACGGTTTCGGCTCTTCCGACGGAAAGTCACGATGTTGTGGTGAAACGATGCATTCGAGGCCGATGGTGTTTCGGGTCTGTCTGAACGACCTGAGGCAGAACAGCTGGGTATTTTCGGCGCTTATCGGAATGTTTGAAGGAAACGACAAGAAACGACAAGATTGGTGTGATTAATTAGGAATCTAGTTTTGCTGTTCAAGATTGGCGAATTTGCTGAGAGCATGTCCTTTTGTAATCTGTTGTAAGATTTTTGGTGTGCAAAAAGTGCTCAGCTGTTTACAGCCCTTTCTTGCCAGGTTGGTCCAGATTCTGGTTTGCTGAGGCGGAACGAAGTGGAACTGGGTGCAGATACAATAAATGAAAAAGGTCCGTTTCACAAGAAGACAAGGGAAAGACAGAAAAGAGTGCCAAGAAGAAAGACCAAACGAAGGCCACATTTCTTCGAACTAGTCAAGGGAAGGCAACGTCAAGAATCAAGAGAGGGTTCGAATTCGGAAGGAATCGGATTTCTTCACCTGTCCTGGCCACCACAAGATGGTTCCGTGGTCGAGTTTTTTGATTCAACTTGAGCCAATTGTTGAGGCTTGGCCATTTAACTCACATCTTTACGTCCTTCTTTTCACACCACCCCTTCCCACCGCACCGATGCAGGTGGCTGCGGCGGCTCTTGCAAAGCCGCCGCCTCGCGCGCAGCGAGCGCCACACCGAGCGCCACACCGAGCGCCACACAGAGCGCCACACAGAGCGCCATGATGTGGCGGCTGCTCTGGCGCGGCAGGCTCAGCAGCAACAGCAGCAACAGCAGCATCAGCAAGTGCAAGTGCAGCAGGCGTGAGCTGAAGCAGACGGTAGTCATGTTTCAGACAATTTTGACAATTTTACCAGAATCACTGACTGGGTCGATGCTAGGATGGCTTCATGATTCCAGAGCTTTTCCACCTTTGGACCAAAAGATGGTCTCTAAGCGCTTTCAACAACAGCTTCGGTCGAAACATCTTCGGTGAACCTTCGCAAGCCGTCACCCGGTTGTCACCCGCTTCGGTCGTCACCAACGTCAAACACTGGACCTGACTGGGGAGCGGCTCATTTGTCGAACCGCCATGGCTTTTCAGGAAGCGGGGCCTCGAGGTCGAGATCAACGGCGGGAAAGGCGCTTTTTGGGTCGATTAATCTTGATTGATTTGTATAATGATACTTTCACTAGTAACCAAGGGCATCGCTACTAGGAGCAAGGACGCTACTAGTATAGTAACAACAAGGCCATTGCTACTAGAAACAAGAAGCTACTAGGGGCTCCTGGCCGTACTACTAGGAGCAAGGACGCTACTAGGGGCTCCTGGCCTTACTACTAGTAACAAGAAGCTACTAGCGGCTCCTGGCATCGCTACTAGGAGCAAGGATGCTATTAGGGGCTACTGGTAACTCTTAAAGACTCCCCATGGCGCCTTTTGCTCCGCCTTTTGATGCACAGACGTAGGTCAGGATCTTGGCCTTGGGGAGCTTTCAGACAACGCTTCAGGGACCGAAAGAAACCTCCACGAAGGACTGGATTTCTCTGAGAACGAAGGGGACTGCTGGACCCCCCCATGAAAAGGATAGTATATATATATATATATATATTTGTCAATTGCCCAGCATGAATGCATCGTGTGTCGCAGGGAGCGCTTTGATCGCCTCAAGAGGAAAAGGGGCGATGCACGCCCGACTGGGTCGGTAGGATCCGACATTTTCCAGTTTTGTCATTGGTAGCGGAGCCCCGGCTGACCGGGGCTCCGGATCGATAGGATTCGACCGGATCCAGCATGAATGCCATGGGTTCTTCATCTGAGAGCACTGGCCTCAGAACCTTCAGCGGTGACACGGAGGATTCAAGAGTATAAGAGATGGCGTACCTGGGTGACAAACAAGATCCTTACGCTGGGAGACAAAATGCCTGACAATGCAAGAGGTGCTTGCGTGTATACATTGCTGTCGGGGAAGGCTTTGGAATGTGTGGAACATTTGGAGCCATCATCATATCAAAAGGCTGGCGGAGAGAAAGTTCTGTTTGACCTCTTGGACCAACGGTTTCCCCAGAGGGATCAATCTGACGAGATGTCTGAGGTGCTCACCGAGGTATTCCAACTCAAAGCTCAAGAAGGAGAATCGCTGAAGGCCTGGGTGTCCCGAGCCACCGAATTGTTTTATCGAGTGCAGCGCAAAGTCAATGTATCCTTCCCAGAGGAAGCTCGAGGCTGGCTCATTCTTCATCGAGCTGGTTTGACTGAGGAGCAAAAGGCAGTGGTGCTATCTCGCTCCTTGGGGGTCCTCAAACGGGAGGAAATTGGCAAGGCAATGAGGTCCCAAGCTGATCGTTGGGAAGAAGCGTACAACTACAGCTGTAGCGGTCGTCGAGGAAGAAGAATCACCTCCTGATTGGGACGATGCGGATGCCACTATAGCTGAAATGGAACAGTTTTTGGCTGAACACCAGGTCGACCAATCAGTTGATCCCGAAGAGGTGTTTGAGGAGCAGGATGTTGCTGAAGCGCTTGCAGGTCCTGGAAAGAGCGTCGCAAGGAAATGGTCAAGTTGAAGAGCGCTCGCAAGTTTTCTCAAGTGGGCGACTCCAAGCGCAGCTTCAAGGTCGAGATCGAGGAGATGAAACGTCGAACGCGGTCCAAACGATGTGAACAAGTGGGTCATTGGGCCCGTGAGTGCAAGATGCCAAAGGGACATGGAAAAGGCTCCAAGTCCTCTTCGACTGGTTCGCATGTGTCCAAAGGATCAGAAGCTGGTGCAATTGGTTGAGGACTTCATCGCCATGGTCTCTGTTGCTGACCCTCCGTGGCTGTCTCTGCAATGGTTGCGTGATCGTCACCGGGAGAAGATGGCAGTAACAGCTGAACCTGCCCATTCTCCCATTACATTGAGCGTTGAGCAACCGTTGAACATTGAGCAGTTGTTGGTCAGCTCCCCGGGTTTTGGGGTTTTGGACAATGGTTGTGGTCGATCAATCATTGGTGCTACTACATTGCAAGAGTTTGAAGCACTTTGGCAGGACAAGGGATGGAAGATACCTATCCCCTTCGCTGAAACAAATCATTTCAAATTCGGCAATGGCCAGAAAGAGACGACTCAGCTCGCTGTCCAGGTACCTGTCCGACTCGGTGGCCGTGTTGGAACTGTCAAGGCTGCAATCGTCAAGGGGTCGGCTCCTTTGCTGATTTCTCGGAATGCTTTGAAAACCCTGAAAGCGGTGATTGATTTTGAGGCCAGTTCCATGACAGTGTTTGATGAGCGCATCACTGTCCCACTGTACACAAACCAAGCAGGGCAATTCACCGTGGATCTCTTGGGTGACCAAGACATGAACCTTGAACCATTTGCCGAGGTCATGAACTTGGAACCAACAGTAGAGCCTAATGTTTTGACGCCTCCTGCGCATGAGTCTCCTGCGGCACCGCCAACACTGGCGAAGTCATCTTCCGATGCCGAAGCAGTCCAGTCACGACTTGATCCTCAACCAGGCGAGGAATCATTGATGTCATGGAGTCGAGAAGATCATTTTCTCCGACATGTGCCTTCGATTGGTAAGCAGGGTCCACTTTGGTCCCCGGTCCGTCGTCGCATTGTCACTGACATGGACACTCATGCAGCAAGTCATTTTTGACGATGCCATTCAACCTCAATTAGGTAAGGGCCAGTTTTCTCGAGTCTTGCCGGAACATGTTTGCGCACAGTAACGGAGTTTCGTTTCGTGCCCCAGGAAGCTGTGATGAAAGTGGAGACTTTGTCTGTCCACCATCTGCGCCAACTGGAGAGTCAGGTGCGAGAAAAGGGGGTATCTAGAGTAGATGGTCGTCCTTTCCTAGTGGCTGAAGTGTTCTCTCCCCCTAGGTTTGCCGTCAGTGCACAACACCATGGGTTTGCGTCACGTTCGTATGATCTGAAGACCGGTTTTGACTTTCGACTTGAAAAGGAGTTGCAAATGAATTGAATGAACACCCTCCGGAGCTTTTGATCCTGTGCCCACCGTGTACTGATGAGGGAGGTTGGTTCAACCTGAATGCATTTCACACGGATCCTATAGGGAGCTTACACGTAGAATTGCTCAGAGCAGACTCTACATTCGTTTTTGTGTTCGTTTGTTTCGGCAGCAGTTGGAACATGGGAAACGGGCACTGCTTGAACACCCGCTGGGCTCCAGGTTGTGGCAATACCCCGAAGTGAGAGCATTGGCTGCACAGTGTCACGCCTTGAAACGCCACACGTGCCGATTTGGACTCCGTCTGCCTGGGTCAGACAATCTCATTCAGAAACCCACCATGTTGCTGGTGAGCAATGAAGACATGTCAGGTTTGGCTCGTGTATGTCCGGGAAGCAAGAATGCCAAACATGTTTGCCATCAACCAATTGCCGGGTCTCATCCAGGAGTAGGGTCCATTTGCACTTATGCCGGTCAATACACCCATCAATTTGTTCAAGCTGTGTTGGAGACTGTCCCCTGTTTCCGAAAAGCCGTAGAAGCCAGCTTAGTCGAGTGTGATCCATGTCCCTCATCGTCTATCCATGAAGTGCTAGCCACTAAGAGTGACTTGGACAGTGAACAGGCTTCGGATGACCAGATCCTCAAGGTGCTTGATCGAATGCGCCGGAACTTGGGTCATCCACAGGACATGGCCTGATTCGAATCTTGAAACATGCCCATGCCAGTGAACGAGCCATTTCTCTCGCTCGGTCGTTCCAGTGTGAGCTGTGTTAGCCAAGTCGAGTAGGATTGATGCCTTCAATCATACGATTGGTATGGATGTTAAATACCTCCCCGGCTGGAAGACAAATCAAAAGATCAAGGCCCTCAACATCGTTTGTCATGGTAGCTGTTATCAACTCATGCTCCCATTCCATGAGACCGAGACTTCAGGTCTACTGAGGAAGCTTTTCCTTGGACAATGGATTCGTGTGTTTGGACCTCCAAGATTCATCATCATTATCCAAGCCCAAACAAACATGGGAGAAGCCCTCCAAGACTGTTTGGATTTACAGGGTACTGAGGTCAAACAGATTTGAGGGGAAGCACACTGGCAGTTGGGTCGCACTGAGAACCATGGAGGCTGGTTTGCTCGCATACTCACCAAGGTCATGAGTGAACACTGTCCAGAGAACAAGGAGCAGTGGGAAGAATGTGTGGTTCATACTCACGTCAAGAATAGCATGATCCAATACTATGGACACACCCCCCATCAACATGTGTTCGGCCAGAATCCACGTGTTCCATCAGATTTGTTGGATGAACCACTCAGCATTGTGCCAGCAACTGCCAGCCTCTCCGATGAAGAATTTGCCAGAGCTCAAGCAATTCGTTCAGCTGCCAGACATGCAGTAATCGAGATGCAAGATAGTAAATCTCTTCGGCGAGCATTGGCTGCCAGACCTCGAGTGGATCTGACCTTCTCCCCAGGCACACTAGTTGCATACTGGAGAAACCAAAAGTTTCCAAGCCGGTGAAGGTGTGGTTTTAGGTGGACGGTGGTTTGGGGTTGCCGTAGTCATCGGCGCCATCGGACGCAATTATGTGATTGCACATCGCCGACAAATTTTCCGAGTGGCTCCAGAACAACTTCGATTGGCCACCTCTGAAGAGTCGGCTGCCGTAGAGACCCCAAGCCGAATTGCTGGGTATTAAAGATCTCATCGAAGGAGGCACCTTCCGTAGTCGCAATTTCATTGATCTTGTGCCCGCACACTATCCACCCAGTCAACCACCTTCGACGGATGCAGTGTTGGATAACGCCTCCACTGATGTGCCAATGCAGGAAATTCCACAGATCCATTCGAATAGCCACAATGAAGAGTGAGTTGAGATTCCTGAACCGGTGTCAAACACGACGCCATCTGCGCCCGAAAGTGCACAGCCTTGTCCGGATTCAAATGCACCGATCTCGTCAAATGCCGGTGATCAAGAGGATGTAGAAACACCAGATAAGTCTTGGGTAACACCTGGTCAAGCGTATGGTCCTGTCCGCGCTCGACATCGACTTCCGTCAAAAAGTGTCCCTACTTCGCTGTATAGACCACCTCAAATGAGACAGGATGACTTTGTTGAGATCATGCGTGAGATAGTCCCCAAGTTGATAGACCAAGCCGTTCCAGACACCAGACAGTCCGAATCTGAGCGCCCTGAGTCCGGCAATGCTGAAGTCGTCACTGACGACACCACAGGGGAACCACCTGCATCTCGACCTCGAGTGGAGGAACATCTCCAAGCCCAGTCTCGCTCAACGAACGAGGTCCTTTCGATTCAAGTGTCAACAATTGGGTCAGGTATGGGACTCCTCGCAAGACAATGAAACCTTGATAGCCGCATACATGCAAAAGCAGCCAAAGAGGTTCCCGCTGTTGGCAATCCTCCCCTGGTACAACAATTGGTCGATGAATCCAAATTGGTTGTCTGGAACACTCTGTTGGAAAAGAAGGCAATCAAGGTGCACGTCGGAAAACACGCCACCTGAATTAAGAACAACTTTCCTGACCGTTTCATGGGCAGCCGTTTTGTCATAGTCCGGAAACCTCGAGGAAAACTTGCGCGTGGACGTCAATGACCCGTCCACTTTCCGGGTCAAAAGCCGTTGGTGCCTTCAGGGGCACCTGGACCCCGACTTGGATCAAAAGTTGGATGAAGGGTTGTTGCAAAGTCCTACCCTTAGTCAAAGCGGCAGAATGATCCTCATGCAATTGGTAGCATCCTTTGGTTGGGGCCTTCAGTTGAAGGATATAAAGGGGGCCTTCTTAGAGGCCGGTCCCCTGCCTGAACGCTTTCGACCCCTATACGCCAGACTTCCCAGTGGTAGCGTCCCCTCGGTTGACGACAACGCTGTCGTAGAGATAGTTGGAAACGTCTACGGACAGAACGACGCTCCGGCTGCATGGCATAAGGCTTTCGATACTGCCGCCCGCAGCTTTGGTTGGGAAAGGTCTCTTTTCGACCAGGGTCGTTTGTGTGTGGGGCAATGGGCGTACACGTCGACGACACCGCGCTTGGCGGATCTGGGACAAAGTTCGATCAAGCCGTTCGCCAACTCAAAGATAGATTCCCATACAGAAAATGGCGTGTTCAGTCGGGAGAGTTCTGTGGTGCCTTTTACATACAAGACCCCAAAACCAAGGAGATTACAATGTCACAACAGACCTTTGCCGAAAAGATTAGACCAGCACATATTGCCAAGGGAGCCAATAATGACCAATTTTTGGAAGAATCCCAGGTTCGAGTTTTCCGTGCCATAAATGGTAGTTTGAATTGGATCTCCTCTCAATCCAGGTGTGGTGTAGCTATTCAGACTAGCTTGAGTCAACAAGCTTTCCCACATCCTCAATCAAACTCGTCATCTTAGGGACGTCAACAATGCAGTTCGTAGAGTCAAACAACACAAGGATGTCAAGATTCAGTTCAGGGCCATCCAACCAGAGCGCTTGAGACTTTGCTGCCACTCTGACGCCGCCTTTGCGAATGTGGGCTCTCACACTCAAGCAGGATATATCATAGCTTTTGTGGACAGTGATTTGGACAAAGGTGCAGTGAGTCCTTGGACTCCCTTGACATGGAAGAGTTACAAACTGCCCAGAGCTGTCTCGTCCACTCTCGCTGGCGAAAGTCAAGCCCTTGCACCAGCTTCGGGCACTGTCGAATGGACAAGCTTAATTTTGAGCGAAGCTCTTGATGGCAAGTTTGAGCCAAGGCTGTGTCGCCAGAGGCTGAAGCTTCGAGCCCCGATCTTGACAACAGATTGTAACTCCTTGTATGACCATCTCATATCACCATCGTCTCCAACAGCCGTGGATGATCGTAGGACAAGCGTTGATATAGTGATTATCCGACAATCCATTAAGGCCACTCAAGCGTCTATCCGTTGGCTCCCAACTAATCATATGTTAGCTGATGCCTTGACTAAAGACAAACTAGATCCTGTAATTCTCCTCAGATCTTGTTTGCGTAGTGCCACCTATCAAATCTCACCTGAAGAGCATGTCTTGGCCCAGCATCCGAATGCAGCGACGAATCTCGTCGAACAAGCTTGAGAAGGTGAAGCGCCAAACCGAGTCAGAAGCCAGCCAAGATCGAATGAAGCCGGTGACTCACTATTTCAAGATGAGTAACACGAGGAGTTACAGCTGTGTTAATGCTAAGCCATGCGAAATGGCCTGGAACCCGTGGATGCCTTAGGTGGCTTCCCCCATGTGGATGACTTTGAGCTCGTTGGTGCCATGTCTGATGCCTCCAAGCGCCAGCATGATCAACATGATCCCCAATATCCAGTGAGCACCAAGTCCAACAGGAAGACCTCAGGCATCTTCACCACCTGATGCGACCACGATGAAGCCTGACGGTGGATACACCACCAAGATGATGGATGGACCCTTTCCATCCAATGTGGAGAACATCCCAACTCAGTCGAGCCTTCCGGCCTTTCCGCCTGGCATCATCAATATGACCCAATGGGGCAAGACGAGGATTGCTTTTGGGAAATACAAAGGCCGAAACTGGTCGTATGAAGATTTGCTGTCAGCAAAGGACGATGAGTCTCGCAGCTATGTTCGCTGGTGTCGCGCCAGGGCAAGCACAGCCAGTGGCGACCTGAGGGATTTGGCCAGCTACCTTTTTCGCCATGAGATGGAGACTTCACATACCTCCATGACGACAAGCCCTCGTATCCCGGGAACAGACCGGGTTCGTGAGTTCAAAGGATGAAAGTTGGTGAAAGCAAGATGCTAGCTGATGTGGATACCTTTGATGTTCCAAAAAGAAGTTGAAGAAGAAAGTATAAGGAATGTCAATTTCCCAGCATAAATGCATCGTGTGCCGCAGGGAACGCTTTGATCGCCTCAAGAGGAAAAGGGGCGATGCGCGCCCGACTGGGTCGGTAGGATCCGACATATGTTTTGTCATATATATACATTACTTATTATATGTTATAGTTTTTCCAAAAAAGACAACTTTTTTTCAATATTTTCATATGTGTTCAGTCCAAGTCGTTTCGGTCAATTCTGTCTCTTTTTGCCCAAACAAGTCGAGCATGAAGGGACTCGCGCAACTGCTCGTTCCGGTGGTTTCGGCAACTTCCGGTGGTTTCAGCAATGGCACAATTGATTCTTCCACCGGCTGAGTGACCGGAGTGACCGGGGAAGTGACTCCACGACACGTCACTACACACCCAGTTGATCACAGTGACTGGTAATGACTGGTATATGTTAACAGGTAATTTGTGATTTTTCGCGGTATGACATGACATGAACTGTATTGTAGTATTGAAGCTCAGGTGGTCTTCTATGGTCTTCTTCCCCTTTCCTTGAACACACAGGAATGATCTGCCATTTTTGCCCAGGCGCCCGGTGCTGAGCCGCACCAGGCCGCTTGGTGCCCAAAACTTTCCAAAAAGGGTCTTCCAACTTTTCCACCTGCCAATTTAATTTAGAAGGCCATTTTTTTTGAAGCATGGTAAGCTTTAAACAGAATCAGAGTCAAACAAGAACGGAATTCCAGGCCTGCCAAGGCCGGCACAGGGTCCATTTACTCGAAGCACGGTGCAGCCGTTTTGCACTGGCAATCCTCACTTGTTGCATCCACAAACTGATAGATCAGTGGACAGTGATTTTTCGAGGGTGGGCAACTCGGTTGTCCAAACAGGGGAACGCGCTAATATTCTAGGCGGCGCCCAGAATCGGTATTCGTCATCAAGAGAAGTGAGAAGACATCAAAAGGCCTATCTTCCATTTGCAGCATTCTGGATTCTTTGGGGGGTGTCCGCATTCCGCAGCACCTGCAAGATACTGAACACTTAAAAAGATAAAGAAGAAGAAAAATAAGAAGAAGAATAAGAAGAAGAAGAATAAGAAGAATAATAAGAAGAAGAAAAGTAAAAATAAGAAGAAGAAGACGAAGACGAAGACGAAGAAGACGGAGATCCCCTTCTGGGTGGGAAGTGCTGTTTGGTCATACTTGGCAAACACATGTTCCTTTTGAACAGGAAATGGTCTAACGGCGTCTAACGGCCTAGCAAGGCACCCCAGCAAGGATGGTGGGAGCGTTCATGCCCCTTTACAATGCGGGCGATTCTCCCTGTGTGCCCCAAACTTCAGCACAAAGCTTCTTGTTCCTAGTAGTGAGGCCAGGAGCCCCTAGTAGCGTCCTTGCTCCTGGTAGTACGGCCAGGAGCCCCTAGTAGCTTCTTGTTGCTAGGTTCTTGCTGGGGCCCAGACTGGGCGTGGATTCTTTGTGGGCCGAGCTCCCGGGAGTGTTGTCCGACGGTTTTCAGGTTGGAGAACGAGACCCGCGAGGCCCGAGCTCGAGAGCTGCAAGTCGCGCAGGAGCGTTGCGAACGGGGCGCGCGAGCGGGTCGCGAGCGGCGCATTTTCTTGTTTTTTTGAGCGGTTCACGGTGGGGCCCACACGAGTCGCTGCATTTCAGTGATGAGTTTCGTGGGATTTAGTCTGATGTTTGGCGAAATGCGGCGAAGCGGCAGGGTTTTTGACAGATGTGTGGTATTTATTTGGGTGTTGGGGTTTCGAAGTGTCTGAACACATGGCACGAAGCAACTTCCATTGAAGTCTCGTGCAAACAAAGAATTGAAGTCTCGGCGAGAAGATGAAAGAAGTACTTTCTTCAGACTGATCGAAAGATCTGGAGTCTAGATGATTCAAGGATCTCCCTTCGCTATCCTTCGCTCAAATCTGATACCTTGTATGCAGTCTTGTATGCATATTCCGATACGCCATGGGTAAGGCAGTCTGGAGGTTCCACCGGCCAAAGAATCGGGACGTCCGAGAAATCCCCGGGGCAGACACTTACTTGCTGATCCAGGAGCAGGTTCAGACTCATCAGCAGACTCTAAGCCAGTTGCGGCAGCCTCTTGGCCACGAAAAAGTGCGAAAGAAAGGCATGACAAAGATTGAAAGGGCATACGCTCGCAAAAGATGACTTTTGTTTCCTTAGACCAGCTTTTTTCCCGAATGCGTAGTGAAGGATTCCCGTTTATAGTTGGGGGTGTGGGGGTTGGAGCTGTGTTTGCGTGGCTTGCGTCGTGTCGTCGTCTGTCGTCGTCTCTCGTCGTCTGTCGTCGTCTGTCGTCGTGTCTCGTCGTCTCTCGTCGTTTGTCGTCGTCGTCGTCGCGTCTCAAATTCGCTGCCATTGGGGGAAGCTTTTGCAAGTGACTTTGCATGGAGGTGTCACGTGTCAGTTTGCACCGCTATTCCATTTTGATTTGCAGGACAATGACGTGTCGCGCAACAAATGTGATGCGTTTCGCTGCACAGGCGCAGCGTTTTGTGAGATCCGCAGATTGCTGCGCAGTTCCATTGGGATTAGCGTTTGGAGAGTCGTGTTTTTGGGTGTTGGATGTGGCCGTGCCATTGGGATTTGCGTTGCAGGGTGTGGCTTCGAAGCTCGGTTATTGTGACAAGTCTCAGCTGAAATGGTGATTTTGGTGGATGGGAGTGTGCTCAGAACGGGTCGAAATCATTCCAAACGTGTGGTGTGGTGCAAATTTTCTTGAAGCTCACATGAGATGATATTGTCACCTTTCGTGGCAGACGCAGGACTTTGTGCGGATTTTGAGGCGTGGAAGTGCGATTCTCGTGGCAGGCGCAGGGAATCGTGCGGTTGCGAGGCGTGACGGAGGTGACATTTCGTGGCAGGCGCAGGGCTCTGTGCGCGTTAGACGTGTGGACGCGGAAAGATTCGTGGCAGGCGCAGGGAATCGTGAGGTTGTGAGGATGTTGTTTGGAGGGGCTGGAATCGCGAAACTGCTTGGCAGGGCTGCGTGATGTGGGTGCTCCGATGGGTGTTTCCGCTTGACTTTTGGAGGAAGTCTCGTACGAAACGCTCGCTTTGCAGACTTTGACGTGTGAGTTTTTGAGGAAGTCTCGTGCGAAAGGCTCGTTTTGGAGACTTGACGCGCAACCCTCTGCGGAGATCGTGCGTGTCGAGTGTGCGAAATGCAGGCGAGAGTGCGATTTGTCACATGCGCACGCGACCCTCTGCGGAGATCGTGCGTGTCGAGTGCACGAAATGCAGGCGAGAGTGCGATTTGTCCCATGCGCGCGCAACCCTCTGCGGAGATCGTGCGTGTCGAGTGCGCGAAATGCAGGCGAGCACTGGCGACTTTGTAGTACAACTTTAACTTTAGCATCTGGGGAGCTGGAAGATGAGAACTGGTGACTTGGTAGTGCAACTTTAGTGCGCGGAGCAATCTGTGGAGCTGGAAGCTGAGAACTGGCGACTTTGTAGTACAACTTTAGTACGCGGAGCAACCGGTGGTGGTGGAAGGTGAGAACTGGCGACCTTGTAGTGCAACTTTAGTACGCGGAGTGTCCTGCAAGTGACCCACAAGAGTGTCCCACAAGAGTGTCCTACAAGAGTGTTCCACAAGAGTGTCCTATAAGAGTGTCCCACAAGAGTGTCCTACAAGAGTGTCCCACAAGAGTTTCCTACAAGAGTGACCCACAAGAGTGTCCTACAAGAGTGTCCTACAAGAGTGTCCCAGAAGAGTGTCCCTTAAGAGTGTCCTACAGGAGTATCCCACACGAGTGTCCTACAAGAGTGTCCCACAAGAGTGTCCCACAAGAGTGTCCCACAAGAGTGTCCTACAAGACTGTCCCACAGGAGTGTCCTACATGAGCGTCCCACAAGAGTGTCCCATGTCCCACAAGAGTGTCCCACACAGTCTCCCACAAGAGTGTCCTACAAGAGTGTCCCACAAGAGTGTTCCACAAGAGTGTCCCACAGAGTGTCCCACAAGAGTGTCCTACAAGAGTGCCCCACAAGAGTTTCCTACAAGACTGACCACCAAGAGTGTCCTACAAGAGTGTCCTACAAGAGTGTCCCACAAGAGTGTCCCACAAGAGTGTCCTATAAGAGTGTCCCAGAAGAGTGTCCCACAAAAGAGTGTCCGACAAGAGTATCCCACAAGAGTCTCCTACAAGAGTGTCCCACAAGAGTGTCCCACAAGAGTGTCCTACAAGAGTGTCCCACAAGAG